GTCTGCTAATCTTTGTTTATTCTAAAAGAAAAATACCTTTCAGCTTACAGTAACTCTTGTTTCCAGAGAACTGGCACACTTCCCAGATTTATTTCACAATGCAGCAGCCATTTGCACAGATGTTCATCTATTATTATTTTTTATTTTGTATTTATTTATTATCGTTATCTTCATTATTATTATTATGGTTGTTGTTACTATTATTATTATTATCATTATTATTAATATTCTTATTCTTATTTATTAGCATTGGCATTGTTAGTATCATTATTATTAACATTTTTAGCTTCATAATTCTAACTTTACTGGGATTTAACCACTTTTATTGCTCCTTATGGTTCAATATTTAAGTCACATTTTCTGTTTTGTGCTTTTTAATAGTGACTGCTGACATGTCCTTCATCATATTAATTAGTTTCTTTATATTTGATGTCATTTCAGTTCCTAATGTGCATATTTGCATAAATATAGAACTCATTGACCTGTAAAATTATTAGAAATTTCCTAATGGAGGACAAGTGAGAGTTTTTTATAGTATTTTTTACACCAAACCTCTGCATGCTTTGCATAGAAAATGGAGAAAACTCTGTTATAGCTATTAGAGATATAACGTAAAATGCTATTTTGAGTATTTTCCCCGTTTTTTTCTGCGTCACTGACGGCCTGATGCTGGAGGCACTTTACCTTTTCCCTGCCAGTGGTTTGGTTTCCCCCCCCCCCGGGAACAGAAACCCGCAGAGCGAGTTCCTGACGTCGTAACGGGGGCAGACGTGTCCCGACGGGGACCGGAAGTCCCTGCAGGGCTTAAACCGGGTTCTGAGGAAGAGGCCTGGATTGCAAAACGAATTGAGGGGGAGGAAGAGGCTAAGGGGGGGGGGCAGCGTGGGAGTCAGACACTTCTGAGGAACGAGGAGTGGTTCCAGAGTGTGTATAAAAGCTGGAGATGGGGCTCATCCAGACACACCGAGGGAGGGAATCCAAACATAAGGACTCCAGACTGACCCCCCCCCACTGGTTTCTGCATCCTGATATCAACATGAACTCTGCCCTGCGATTCGTCCTCCTCCTGGTCAGCGTGGGCCTCTGTGCATCGGCCGGTGAGTTAAACAAACCCACCCAAACCCCAAATGAGACCCCCCCAGGCTTTATCTGATGATTAACCATCAACCTGCGTCTTTTTTCCGCTTCTTTTCACAGCTATCAAGAACTGCCGCTGCATCAAAATGAGCAAAAGCGTGAACCCTGCTCTCATCGTTCAGCTGAAGGATTATCCAGCCAGCTCCTTCTGCAGCCGGCAGCAAGTCATGTGAGTGGCAAAAGACTGATAAATGGAGGAAAAAATAAATGGATAGATGCATAAATAATAGAATAAATAATACATAAAGAAATTATGTATTTATTATTATTATCATTGGTTATTATCATTTGTTTATTATTATTATTATTATTATTATTATTATTATTATTATTATTATT